TCTGTTCCCCACAGGGACTGAGACAGATTAGTGAAACTAGGAAAATTCCCTGGCAAGTGAAATTAGGAAATTGAGACAAATAGCTGAACAAATGGCTGAGCAATGAGCAGACAGCTAATGGACCACAGGACCCTACGCTCCCTAACCAAAGACATCTAGGGGCAGATGGTTTAAACCTCTCCTCCCCAGCCAAAGCCACCCAAGAGCAATGGCTTAAATCACCACGGTCAGGGGAACAGACTAAGAAACAACAACAACAGATTAATCCAATGTTAGAAATGTGAGAGAAATAGAGGTGGGAGGAACCGATGATCTGATCCCAGTGCCTTTGTCTGATGCTGCCCTCCAAAGCAAGCTCAAGTGGGCTGAGTTGGGATCCACATCAGCACCTGGGGGGGAGGGGGGAGGCAAGAATGATTTTTTTAAAAGAAAAAGTAGGGGGTTTGTGAGGGGATAGGGGAGGGGTCAGTCTCTTGTTCTTCTAGGCGGGTGCGTCAGGGCCCCAGGCCAGTGGGGATAACTGGGTCTTGGGCAGTCCAGCGGGCTGGGAAACTGGCCTGACCCTTTCGTCCAAGATAGGGGTGAAACCGGCCAAGCCCGTTTTGAGGCACCAGCATGCTCAAGGACACACCTGGAAAGCTAACGAATACTCTGTTGAGATCTTCCATGGGAGCTCCCCTAAAATTGCTGCCTATAGAAAATAGATAAAACCCTTAGCGCTAGATTCTTCCCTTGCTGGTGTACACCTGCGTCCCTTCCCTCGGGAGCATACTTTTGCTTTCTTTATCCTGAGCTCCAAGGCTTCCGATGAGATGAGACTTTCCATCAGGGGAGCTGTGGGCAGTGGCAGCTGGTCCCAGGCTTGCTCCGGATGCTGTCTCCAAGGGCTCTCCATTTGCCTCACTGACCTAAGCTTGAATAAATTTACTCTCACTTGACTCATGTCTTGAAATTTTTCCTGCATGAGTCAAGAACCTGCACATCCCACTGTTCCGTTCCAGGGCAGACCCGTCTCAGCTCCATCCAGTTCCAGGGACAGTGTGATCATCTGGCTGCCATCTTTGTTCCCTCCATCACCCTGAGAACAGCACAGCACACAGGGAAGCACACTCTCAGCAAGCCTGAAATGAGAGCTGACCAGGCTTGTCTTTACTGAGCACTGAACTGCCTCTAACTGAAACTGGATGGCAACTGAGTCCGGGGCTCCTGTCATCTTGTCACCCACTGCTCAGCCAAAAAGCAGAGACAAGGATTGGATTATAAATGCACTTTTTTATTATCGAAGGCCAGCAGTTTGAGAAGGTGGCAGGTAAGACCTCTAACATCCACCTACTCTTGAACTTTCAGAAGCAAGTTTATATAGGGAAAATATAGGAATTTGGTAGGGAAAAATACCTAGGGGGAGTTCAGACGTGCAGTTTCTCCTGGGAGGAGGAGCTGAAAGAGAAGTCAGCAGCCTCTTCCCAGGCTGGCTCCTTTGTTCCAGTGTTATCTCTGTTTGCTTTAGAAATCCTCTTCCTCTCTTCCCAAGCGATTAGGGTTTATGGCCAGGGAGGTTAGTATTCTCTGGTTAGGGAAGATAAGGTTAGAGAAGATAAGATTCTTTAATTGGCTGTGAATTGCTCAGCTGTTTGGTTTTGTTTATTTTTTAAAAGATTTTATCTATTTATTTTTAGACAGAGTGGAAGGGAGGGAGAAAGAGAGGCAGAGAAACATCAATGTGTGGTTGCCTCTTGCGCTGTCCCCCACTGGGGACCTGGCCCACATCCCAGGTATGTGATCTGACTGGGAATTGAACTGGTGGCCCTTTGGTTTGCAGGCCCAGGCTCAATATACTGAGCCTCACCAGCCAGGTTTAATTTTCTTGTCTCAGTTTGCCCATTCCACTTGCCTAGGAATTTTCCTAGCTTCTTACTATCCTGTCTCATAACGAGAAAAGCTGTCCTCCAAAATAGAATGGACTTGAACATTATTACTGCCTCAAAGGAGGCACCGGTGTCATTATGGGAGCAGAATATTGTGTGTTCATATCTGATGAGTCTGCTTATGTATAACTTTTATTTTTTTTTTTTTTAAAGATTTTATTTATTTATTTTTTTAGAGAGGGAAGAGAGGGAGAGGGAGAGAGAGAGAGAGAGAGAAACATCAATGTGTGGTTTCTGGGGGTCATGGCCTACAACCCAGGCATGTGCCCTGACCGGGAATCAAACCTGGAACACTTTGGTTCCCAGCCCGCGCTCAATCCACTGAGCTACACCAGCCAGGGCTATGTATAACTTTTATTAAATCACATGAGGACACAAGTGAACAAAAGCCCCTGAATGATTTGATCTCCAGCCTACAGGACTTAATGAATCAGTGGTTCATATCGTGAGGCTCTTAGTGGAAGAAATTGCTACTTATTGGTGGAATCATTATCTTAATCTATGTGTTCTCTTGCAGGTGCCTGTATTGTTTCTATGTTATCGGCCCCCAGTGCAGCAACATGGCCGATAAGTGAGCCCTTGCTGACCACTCAGGGCACACTGCAGAAAATGAGGAACACAGAGATTCTAAGAGATGGTCACACAGGGTGGAATGTTGGAGGAAGTCATCAAGAGGATGTGATTGCCAGTTGACCTTTGAAGTGGAACAGGGTAATCGGAGGCTCACCACCCTTCCTGTCCTTGGGATGTACACTCTGCCCACTTTTTTCACACTAGGAGCCACTTCAATGTGTAATGGGGTACAGGGTAAGGGGTGCCCCCAGGAATATTGGAGAAAGGCCCCATAGCCCTTGGTTGGGAGGGAGGGGAATGTGGATGATAGGCTTAGGGTTATTTTCATAACAAAGGCTAGTTTAATAGTTGTGCTACCAGCTTGGGGCAAGTTGGGCATGGCTTTTGGACGATATTCTAGCCAGGGGAGGCAGAGGCCCCTGGATCACTGAGTCACACTTGCCCTGACTGGGGATGGCGGCAGAACAAATGTTAACTATACAGAAGACAGGCAAATGTAGCTCATTATAGGAGCTAGAGACGAGGTCACTCAGGAGGCTTTGGGTCAGGCATTAAACGAAGGGTGGGCAGCCGTGAGGGGTTTTTGACCATGTGGCTTAGAAGGGACTACAAGGGCCATGAAGGAGAAATAATGTAGCAGCAATGTGAGAGGGAGAAGGAAGCAAGCAACTGTGTAGTCAGTAGTCAGGATCCAGCCACGCAGCCGGGTGCGGTAAGGAAGGAGACATGCTGTTGCTCTGATCGCGCCCTCGCGCCCGCTCCGGCTGACTCCAAAGACTCTCCCTTGCAAGACACTGACCTGCTGCCTTGCAAACCCGGACTCTACCTGGACTCTCAGGACCTATATCTTTCCTGAACCTCACCATGATCTGGTGCACCACGGCACATGCTTTCCTGGACTATTACCCAGGGGCTGATGACACCGCACCCCAGATCCTAAAGGAGAGAGCTGCTGCTTGACTGGTGGTGCAGACAGCTTAAATTCAGATAAGGAGATGGGGAACTTTTGTGGCTTTTGGCTGGTAGTGTAGTGGGAGCAAGGGAAGTGCTGGGTCTCGTGGGAAAGGAGGGCTCTGAGCATAAGTGCTCTGAGCCCCTCTAAGATTGGAAAACTGTAAATAAAAACCTGCTCCTCCCAGCATTAATTGTTGGTCATTCACCAAGGTGCAACGTGGATGGGCTCTTGTCTGCTCGCTTACAAATGCACAAACTTAAGAGAGTAATGTGTTGTTGAGACTGTCCAGATTGTATACATGACTGAACCCAGATCAGGTATCTATATAAAGTTTTAAGATTCTGGCAGGCAGTGTGGAGATCTACTCATCTCACAGTGGCCAAGTTCCCTGGCTGACTCCAAACAATCTGGAGTGGATCCATCTCTACTTGACCTCTGTGTACAGAGGCCAGTTTCAGATTTCAGCTGGGAAACTCCTGAGGTTTGGGACCAGTGTTTTTCCTAAGCAGTGAGACTACGGGGTACTTCAAGGGGAACCCACGGTTTGTTGACTTCTGTATCTCATTCTTGCGTCATCTTTTCCAGGATGTTTCCTATGGGCATTGACTTTTGAATTTCAAACAGTTTTCACATGTCACTAAATATTCTTTTTCTTTTTAAAAGTATTGATTTCGGAGAGAGAGGTATGGGGGAGAGAGGGAGAGAGAGAGATTGATTTGTAGTTCCACTTAATTGCGTTCATTAGTTGTTTTTTGTAGGTGACCCGATGGGGGATGGAATCCACAACTTTGGCATTTCAGGACAATGTTCTAACCAACAGAGCTAATCCGGCCAGGGCTATTCTTTTGATTTCCCATCCCAATCATTTGTAAATATAAAAACCATTCTTACCTCACAGGTCATACAAACAAACAAACAACCAAAACCAAAACCAAAACCAAAACAGGCAGTGGGCCAACCCATAATATAAAAACCAGAAATATAGAGGAATAAATCATATTATATTACATCATATTCCTTAATTTTCCATATTTCCCCCCGGAGGTGAAAAAGCATGTTTCCATGTTAAATGCGTTTATATCTCATTTTAAACAACTAATTGTATTTCTGAATACGCCCTCAAGTTTTCATGGCTTATGGTGGTCCGTATTTCTCGTTAATTAAACTAATTGCTGCATAACCCATTAATTTTTCCTTTGATGTGACTTCCCAGAACTAGAATTGTGAGTTTCTTCCCACAATTCTTCCTTAAATTTCCCTGGACACTCAGACCCTGCCTCTATAAATGCTGATGACGCAAGGGCTTCTGGGGAACGTAGTTCTGGCTTGTAGCTAGCGAGTCCGCTGGCGCTGAGCCGAAACATTTCCGGCGGAAGTTGGAGGGCGTGAGAAGGAAGGCAGACAGTTTTCCGCAAACGTCTCATCTCAAGGGTGCACCTGGACGACGCATGGGGGCTGTGACTCTGAGTCCCCATGCGATTGGCCAGAGGATCTCCGGGCACGCGCACAAGGCGCTTCATGAGCCACGCCCTTGACGGCTGTCTGGGAGTTGTAGTTCCGCCTCCTACCTTAACTCACCCGTCGAGCAGCGGCTTGGAAGCCTGAGGCATTCCACCGTCTTCGGTGCTTGGTTTTGAAGATGGATCCCGGCCCCGACGGGGCGCCGCTGGCTGGCCTGGCCTGGTCCTCGGCCTCGGCGCCCCCGCCACGGGGGTTCAGTGCGGTGAGAGGCACCGGGGGTCAAGGGTTGAACAGGGTCACTGGCGTCTGCGGAAAGGCAGGAGCCAGGCGCTGACCCACGTTCCGCCGTAGATATCCTGCACAGTAGAGGGGGCGCCCGCCAGCTTCGGCAAGAGTTTCGCGCAGAAATCTGGCTACTTCCTGTGCTTCAGTACCTTGGGCAGCCTGGAGGTAAGGGGCGCCCACCTCAGGGAACCCTGGGATCTGCCACTCCTGTCCACTCGCGGGGTCCTACGCCAGGCCAGGCGCTCCGCCCCCGCCCCCTGGGTGACTCTTGCTGTGTTCTCCCCACCCAACCCCCAGAATCCACAGGAGAACGTGGTGACCGATATCCAAGTCCTGGTGGACAAGAGCCCCCTCCTGCCGGGTTTCTCCCCGGTCTGCGACCCCCTGGACGCCAGTGAGCCCCGCGTCGGAAGCTGGGGGTGGGGAGCGCGTGCGCGTCCCTGCGGGGGGATCAGGGAGAGGGATGGAGGGGTGACAGGCACAAGATCTCTGAGCCTGGGCCACCCCCTCGATGCAATGTGTACTGACAGGGTTAGCTGAGGACTCGGAGCCGTGTTTCAGGGCGGGATGACAGACCCTGCCCTGCGTAGAAATGTGCAATTGGCAGTCTCTGGCGTAGAGAAACAACAGCGACCTGTTTTATTGCTATTAGTGCGACACGTCTTCTTACACCGTAGCCAAGCTCTGAACTACGCGCAGTTCTCTCTCTCTCTCTCTCTCCTTTTTTTTTGTTTCCAGGCTTTTGCACACTCCAATTCATGTCCCACCCTCTCTTAGCTAATACTTGGCTCTCCCCACCCCTCCGTTTTGGCTCTTATAGCCTGGGAGCTGCCCTTCCAGCCCTGACCACCCTGCTTTCCAACCATCTGGCTCTCCCTATCTCCCACTGTGTCTTGTCACTTATATTTGATTCTCAGAGTATATCTATTGATACTGGAGTTAGCAAACTTTTTCTGTAAAGGGCCACACAGTAAATATTTTAGGCTTTGCAGGTCAGGTCTGTGGCAAATGTCTGTGGCATATTCTGTTTTGCTCCCACAACCCTTTGAAACTGTAAAACTGTAAAAAACCATCTGTAGGCCTCATGAGCCCTACAAAAGCAGATGTTGGAGGCTGGGGGTGGAGGCTTGGCAGTTGAGTGAGGTGTGGCTCATGGGCACTCAGTTCTGTCTGATTCCACAGCTACCCTCCTCACTGTGGTGCACATGGATGAGCCCACCTCAGTGACTCCTAAAGGTTGCATGGAGTTGCCTCCTGTGGCCGTATCATTCATGCTTTAACCATTGCCCTAGCACCGTGCAGGGGCCTGCCTTAAATAGCACCCTGGCAGCCAACGTCTTGGAGCCATCTTTGGGTCCCTTCCTTGCTTTTCCCTCTTCTCACTCTGCTCCGCTCACCCCCAGAGGCCTCCATTTCCAAGAAGAAACGCATGTGTGTGAAGTTGGTGCCCCTGGGGGCCGCGGACACAGCTGTGTTTGACATCCGGCTGAGCGGGAAGACCAAGACAGTGCCTGGATACCTTCGAGTAGGGTAGGGCTTCCCCCCAGCCTCTGGCCTCCTCCCTTGCCCTCCAACTCCCATACATACCCTTTTGACCGTCAGGGACGGCCCTGAGGCCTCCTGTCTCTTCTGCCACCCCTCTGTGCCTCAGTTTCCACATGTCAGAATGAGGATAGCTGTACTAGTCTTGTAGGGCCGTCCTGAGGGATAAGTTGGCATGTCTGAAGAACACAGTGCAGTGATTGGACTTGGCAGTTGCTTCAGATGCAGGCTGAGACACTGAAAGGAAAATTCCCCAAATGGCAGGGGTTCCTCCTTTCTTCTGGCAGCTGTTCTCAGCCCTTGCTGCACCTTGGGTCAGAACTCCCTCCCCCCTTTTGCCCCCCATCTAGGGACATGGGTGGCTTTGCCATCTGGTGCAAGAAGGCAAAGGCCCCGCGGCCAGTGCCCAAGCCCCGAGGTCTCAGCCGGGACATGCAGGGCCTCTCCCTGGACCCATCAGCCCAGCCCAGGTGAGTCCTTGGGCTTAGGGATGCGGGTGGTAATGGGGTATCAGGCCTGACCTGGGCTGGCCCTTTGCTACCAGCAAGGGACGCTTCCCGGAGGGGACCTTGTCAAGACTGGGCTCACGGGCCTCAACCCTGCGGAGGAGTGACTCCATCTATGATGCCTCCAACCTCTACGGCATCTCAGGTGAGTGCAGGGTAGAAAACTGAGGCCTGAGGGTGGGATGTGATTGGCCAAAGGTTTATATAGTCCAGAAGGGGTGGAGCCACGGTTGGAACCATAGCTGGCTCCATCCCATTCTGTAAAGACTGGGCGGTGGTGGAGGGGCGGGGAGGGAGAGGGCTGGGTGTGCCTCTGGGGTCGGGTGGGCAGCACCCAGGCCCCAAGCACCCTGCTCCTCAGCTACTTACCTCCACCACCCACCACCCCATCTTGTGCTTTCCTCAGCCATGGATGGGGTTCCCTTCACACTGCACCCCCGATTTGAGGGCAAAGGCTGCGGCCCTCTGGTGAGTCTGTGCCCCAGGGAAGACTGGGCCATCTATCCCTGCCCCTCGCCTTTCTAGCTCAGGAACACAGGGACCATCAGCCATGCACCCAGCCCCCCAGCCCTGAGGCCACATTCCTGGGTTGAGGGAGGCTGGAGAAAAAGGGGTGGGGGCTGGAGGGCCTCTCTCTGGAGTGGGGAGCCAGGAAGGGCAGCTGGGTGCTGGTTGCTAGAGGCTGTGTCAGGAAGAGGGAGGGGATGTTCAGGCAGGTTGAGGGGGGCCCTCCTTGAAGATGAGGAAATGGGGGTTTCAGGTGGGAGCCTGGGCCCAAGATTGACCTGCCCTACCCACCAGGCCTTTTCTGCCTTTGCTGATCTTACCATCAAGTCGCTGGCGGACATTGAAGAGGAGGTAGGTACGGGGCAGGTAGGAAGAGCAGGGGGGTCCTGGGACCGGGCCCCCCACCAGGCCACCTCAGTCTTCCCTAACCACACCCCACCTCTCCAGGGCTGCAGGCTCTGTCCTCCGTTTCTCACGGCTCCCCCCACAGCCCCTCCCTCACTCTGTGCTCTCCCTCCCCCAGTACAACTACGGCTTTGTGGTGGAGAAGACAGCTGCTGCACGTCTGCCCCCCAGCGTGTCGTAGCCCATTCACCATTCCAGGGAAGAGACCGCTGCCCCACGCCCCCTGGACTGGTGGCTCGCCACCCTAGCCCATGTTGGGGACCTTGGCAGCGCAGGGCACCCTGGACCCTCAGCCACGTGGGGAGCTACCACCCTGGAGGAGGTTGACCTGGCTGCTTGGTGACGGGCCTCCTGCCCCAATCCCTATAGGGCAGGGGTGGGGCCTAGGTGGAAACCAGTGCCTTCAAGTCATTTGTGTCAAAACTCTGGTGCCTGGAGGCCACACAGCCGTCCCCTTGGCAATAAACACTGTGCTGTCTGTCGTCTGGAGTCCTGACCCTGGCCCTGGGTGTGGCTTGTGGCCTTCGCCTTGTTCAAGCCGGGGCAGCCAGGCACCCAAAAGACAGGTGTAATCCTGGAGGGAAGGTTGCGCTGTTGCTACTGTCATTCCACAGAATGGGAAACTGAGGCTCAGTGAGGGCCTGACCCAGGATTCTAGACCATAAAGAAGACCCGCCCTACTCCCCTGTCCTTGCAAAAACAGTAACAGTAGTAACAGCTACCACTTATCCTAGGGACCATGTCCCTAGCAGTTGAGACAAGGTATCTCACTGAACCCTCCCACAGCCTGGTGGGAAGCCCCTGTTTGGTCATCACTTTACAGGTAGGGAAACTGAGGCAGAGGACTGCTAAGATCACAGCTGGGATCACAGCCTGCTAACCAGAAAGCTGTTCTGTGCATCCCTCTTCCTCCACTGTGCTGTGGGTACAAATGGTTGACCCTAATTATCTGCACTACTTCCGTTTTACAAAGTTGTGGCAAAAAATGACATTAAGGAATACTGGATTCCTTGGGGAGACAGGTGGGTTTCTACGAGTTTTTGGTCACATTTTTGTCAAGTGACCGATACATGACCTTGTTTTGTGTGTGTTTCAAGATGCCTCGTTTGTTGTATATGTACTGCTGCTTTATCAGCATTGACCTCATCCCCACAGCAGGTTAACTGACACCTGGACAAAGCTTATCCGACACATGTTTTCTCTGGAGGGCACATGGCAGCCTTCTGGAGCTTAGGGGCACCAGACAGAACCTCAGCACTAAGCTTTGGGGCCTTTTTAAAAGAGTGAAATGCCAAGGAAAAGCACAAAAATGTGAAACCCAGACTGTGGCAAGATTCGTTTACAGTCTGGGCGCTGGAACAAGAAGGCGGACACCTTGTTCCACCTCCACTGGGGACATGTACCTCCTGGGACTCGGACTTCTCCCTGCTCCGTGCCTGTCCTCTGGTGACCATAAGCACCAGGGGCATGTGGATTTTTGGGTCACAAATAAATTTTAACCGGTAAGAGATTTTGCAAATAGGAACCTGCAAATAATGAGGGTCAACTGCATGTGTGAAGTTAACTGCCCCAGGCTGGCTTTCTGCCACCTCTGTGCTTCTCTCGTCTGCTCTCGTCCACATCCCTGTAGCTCAGAAAGGCAAGGGCTTATTTCTTATCGATAACATCCCTGTGGCAGTGAGGCCACAGTCTCTGCTGGTTGGAGTTGTGCGGAAATCCCCCTGAAGAGGCAGCCACCCTCTCGCCCTGACAGCAGGGACAGGCTCAGAAAAGTCTTACATCGTTCAATGCCCTGGCTAGGAACGACCTTGTTCAAGTTTTGCTCACAGCTCATTGGCCAAAGTGGGCCCCACAGGGCCTGAAGGAACAAACCACCTGTCGTGGCCTTGTGTCCAGCGACACTGGCCCAGGAGTCTAAGGTGGGGGCACTGCCCTGCACGAGAGTCTGTGGGAAGGGGGTTCCCTGCTCTGTGGTCTGAGGAGAGGCGAAATTCTACTCTAGGGGTCTTGGGGGAGGCACACTTCTGCTCTGGAGTCTGAGGTGGGGACCAAGCATTGTTTTGGGGTCTGAAGCTCTGTGGTCTGAGGAAGGAGGCAGAGCCCTGCCCCGGGAGTCTAATGGGGGAGACGGCTCTCCTGGAGGAGGCTGGGAGAAGACCATGCAAAGGGTGCCCCTCCCCCACACACTCCGCTGCCTTGAGAAAACTAGGCCTCGGGTACTAAGATATCTCCCGCATCTCCCACTCCAGACTCTGCCAGCCCCTGCCAGGCCCCACCCGGGCTGCTCTGGCGCCGGCCTGGGAATTCAATCTGGTCGGAAAGCAAAGGCTGTTTGTTTGCCCTGGTCGCCTTCTCGGCCACCCTGAAACCAGCCCTGGATCACTTTCCAGGGCAACTATGTGTGACCGGGGCCCTTGGGTCCCCTGTGCTGGCCTCTGGTCTAACTGGGCCAGTTGTCACGTGACGCTGCAAAATGCCCACCATCTGAGCCCTGTGGGGCCCGGAACTTCACAGGAACTTCACAGCATCCGAGAGGGCCCAGGGCCACCTCAACCCAAACTACCCCAGGCTGAGCTGACATTTCCGGTACAGAGGGAGCAAAGCTTCACTTTTCCTGCCTTGGGCTCGCCCCTGGGTGCTGAGAGCCAGGCATCGCAGGAACCTGGGTACTGAGAGAGATGTTTCTGGGGAGACATGGTCACAGCTCCACTGCCAACTGGTGACCCTGAGCAGTGACTTAATCTTTATACTTCTAGAACATTTCATCACCCCAAAGGGAAACCCCATTAGCAGTCACTCCCCCAGCCCCTAGCAGCCACCAGTCTGCTTTCTGTCTCTGTGGAGTTGCCTGCTCTGGATATGTCACCTAGAATCACAAGTATGTGACTTCATGTGTCTGGCTCTTTGCTCAGTGTGATGTCTCCAAGGTTCATCCACGTTGTAGCCTGTGTCAGCGCTTCATCACTTTTCATGGCTGAGCGATCTCCGTTCCACACTTGGTCCATCCTATCAGCTCATGGGACACTTTTGGTGATTGCAACCAGTGCTGCTGTGAGCATGCACATTGAAGGCTTTGTTTGAACACCTGTTTTCAATTCTTTCAGGCCTCCTTATATTTTGTACTCCCGCCCAATCCTGGCCCTGGGGATGAAGCTGAGGGGTCCAGCCTCTAGTTCCCCTGACCAGTCCAGGAGGCCCCCCGCCCCCCGTGCTGGCAGCCAGCCGGGTCCTTCCTTCCCTCTTTCTTCTCTCCTCCATCCTGCATCCCCAAGGCCTGCCCTGTTCCAGGGGGTTCTCAGAAACTGGGGTCTCCAGTATTCCTCAGGCACCTACTCTGTCCCAGATCCCTATGTGATGGGGTTCTAGCCATTGCTACTATGTGGCCTCACCTCTTGGGCCTCAGTTTCCCCATCCACAAGTGGGGTTGTCCTGAAGAATAACTGGAGACAGGAAAGCACCTGGCCCCTGCCTCCAATATCCAGCATGCAATAAAGACGTGACACTTATTCTTATTTCATCCTCTTTGTTGATAGTCATCACGTGTGCTGAGAGTGCGTGCTCACTGGCACCCATGTTATCAGGTGCCCTGTGGGATGCTCACTTGACCGCATTCCACTGGTGAAGAGGAAGTCTGCAGCTTCCTGGGAACCCAGGGAGACGGCCAAGGCTGGTGGGACACCCAGGCCTGTGATCAGTGGGGTCTTTTCCTGGGGTCCGGCTTGAGAACAAGGCCTCCCTGCCGGGTGTTGTCCCTTCTCTGCCCATTGGGAGGGGTCCTGAGGAGCTTCCTTTGCTGTGGTTGAGCCTCCTCTGCTCCTTGGGCTCTAGAGTCCCCATGTGACTCAGGAAGGGTCAGGCTGGAAGATTTCTGGGGACTCCATACATTTGGGGTAGGGGCCAGGTACGAGGCTGTCCCCACACCCAGTGAAACTTACATGCACGAAGATTTGTGGGAGATGGTTCCCAGGAGGGTCTACAAGGGGCAAATCCCGTCTCCCATTCCCACCTCCCCACCTTCACTGTTGTCACTCTGCCCCTTACCCCAAACCTGGGCTTGGCCACAAAGCACATTCGGGTGTGGCTCAAGTGACGTGGAGACAGTGAGGGTCAGAGTTTACTTCCGGGTTCTGGAAGAGAAGACGGGAGTGGGGCCAGGGCCTCTGGAGACTCCTAGGGCTCCGAGTCATCCACTCCAGGCCCTGTCAGTTCCATGTCAGAGTCCCAGAAACTGGCCATCAACCCATCTTTCCCAACAACCGAGTGCCTCGACTGAGAGCATCACAGGCTGACACACACGGATGACCTACTGTGCTCAGACCCCTGGAATGGATTGTACAGAGTCTCATGGGAGCCCTAGGCAGAGGGACTGATTCTGTCCCCATTTTACAGACAAGGAAACTGAGACACAGAATGGTGATGCCCTCCGCCACAGACCCACAGCCAGGAGTTGGACGCAGTCCTTTAGGGGTGTTGTGGACCTGGGCTGTTCTGAGCTCTGCACACAAAGGTTTCAAAGGCTCACAGACCGGAAGGAGTCGCAGAGACTTGCACTGTCAGCAGCATTGGGGTTACAGGACCCAGGTTCGAATCCTGGTTCTGATGCTCAGTACTGGCCGGGGGACCCCTGGTGAGTCACTGCCCCTCTCTGGGCCTCGGTTTCCTCATCTGTAAAATGGATGAGGACATTTAGAGAGCCACTGCCTAAGCCCCACCCCAGCTTCCTTCCTATTACAGAACCTCATTTCTCTGCTCAGCTACATTTCTCAGTCTCCCCTGTAGTAAGATGTGGCCATGTGACTGTTCTGGTCAGTGAGGTATAAGCAGAAAGGACCCAAGGCCTCCCAGGAAGACTTCTAAAAGATGCTGAGCCAGCCTTGGCTTCTATCTTTCTGAGTAAGAACATGAAGGCTGGAGCCTGGAAGCTGTGTTGTGCCATAAGGCAAACTTGAGGACAAAAGCCAGGGATGCTGTGAACTGAAAGATAAATCAAGTTGTACTGCTACTGTGGCTGATCCTGGATATATCTCTACCGAGTGCTCTTTCTGCTGCCTGACACCAGCTCTCTATCCCTGATCCCTGAGCTCATACCAGTGTGGAGTCTTTCCCCGAACCCCCTGGCTTGTGGCCCAGCATGCTGCGCATCTCATGGGTGACCCCTTCCCAGTGTCCTCCACCAGCCAACAGTGTCCGGTGCATGCGGGATACAGGCAGGCTGCTCTCCCAGCCCCCACCCACAGCTGCAGGTGCTGAGGCAGTGACTGAGGGTCTGAGGGGGTCCCCAGGTTCTGGGCAGAATGAGTAGGGAGTTTGATGGTGGGTACCCTGCTGGGGTGGAGCCCTGGGTCTGGCCTTGGAGACTTCAGCAGAGCGGACAGGGTCGTCTTCAAAATGCGGTGGGGACAACTCATGGAGGCCACGGCGGGTGGCCCGGGCGGCCTGGAGCAGAGTGTGGGTCAGCATGGCCACCAAGGCCAGTGCACCCAAGCCGAGGATGGAGGCGGCTGCTGCTCCTGCCTCGATCTCGAAGAGCAGCAGGGCGTAGATGGACAGTGCTGGGGAAGGAAATGTTTCCATTTATTCAGTCAATAAATATTTGCTCTCTGAGCCATGGAGAGCAAATATTTGTTTTCTGAAGAGAGGGGCAGTCACTCAAAACTGACCAACAGGGTAGACACATGGATGAACTCATCTGGTCCTCTCTCAACTCACGCCAGACTTCCCGAATCCCTGTGACTGGCCTTGAGGGAATCAGAGCTGCTACTCCCCTGTTTGCTGGTCTGAACAAGGCATTTGGTGACCCAACCTTGAGGATCTGTAGTGGCTCCCTGTCACCCTGTCCAGCATCCGTTGAAACGATTCTTTATTGTGAGGACTATTCCATGCACTGTAGGACATTTACCAGGGTCTACCTCCTCCCACCCTGTTGTGACAACCAAAAATGTCTCCAGATATTGCCAAATATTCCCCGGGGTGTAGAATCAGCCCCCATTGAGAACTGCCAGTCCAGTGTCTCCCCTTAACCCGGAGGGGCTGGTCTAGGAACTCTGATCCACTCCTATGGCATCAGTGATGTGTTTAGTCCTGGGCTTGACCAATCAGAACATTGCTTCTCTAGTTGCAGTGATTGGTGCAAGACTTTCACATGACCCCAAGCTCAGCCAATTAGAGTCAGTAATAAGACTTCCTCTTGGGTCAGGAGGACCCAGGAATTTCTTACTGCAGTGCCCCCCCCCCCCCCGGGGGGGACTTGTAAGAGAGAAACCCAGGGCTGATAAAGGACTTCTTGGCACTTTGTGGGGTGTTCTCTGGCTCTTCACTTTTGCTTTTCAAGATATCATATTGCATCCTATATGGCATATTAAAGTGAGGCCAAGGAATTTTTGCTGTAAACATTTTTTTTCCAAATTATAAGAGAAAGTTTATATAGAAAGTCAGAGTTAGAAAAGGTGAGCCAGCTGGGCTGTGTGGGTTCAGGAAATAAGTTAGAGACAAAACAAGGGAACTTAGAGCTTAGAAAAAAGGAAGCCAGAATTCTGGTTGGTGTGGCTCAGTGTATTATTGAGTGCTGGCCTGTGATCAATAAGTTGACAGTTCAATTCCCGGTCAGGGCACATGCCTGGGTAGCAGGCCAGGCCCCCAGTTGGGGTGCAAGTTAGAGGCAACTGATTGATGTTTCTCTCCCTTTCCTTCTCCCTCCCTACCCCTCTCTCTAAAAAATAAATGAATAAAAAACAAACAAACAAACAAACAAAAAAACGCAGAGCGAATGTGCCTGGGGAAGGAGAGAGGGGAAGGCCCAGGCGTGCTCGAGAGAAAGAAAGAGGGCACCACTCTAAACATTTCTGAAAAGGTCTTTATAATTATTCTTTTGTCTGTGGTTAGCAACAAGATTGGCTGGACATGCTGGGGAATTCTTGCCAAGTGAGCTCACCTAACCTCAAAAAGAATCTAAATGGGAGCTGAATGAATTCTTAAATTTAATGCCTAATGAAACTGACATAGTTACCTTTTTTCCCCTTTGTGAGTCTTCTAGAATTTTAGAATGAGGATACTGGATTCTCTAAGTCTCCAACATTTTTGTTGGCTCATGAAAAGACTGGAGGCTGGAGGCATTTTGTCAAAAGCACTTAGGGATACAGGCATCTTTCTCAGGGGCAGCAGGTGAAGAGGTGAAGCAAGAGGCATTTCCGATGGCCTCATTTGACCACCTGGATTCAGTCACATCCAAGACCAACAAAGCCTGATCTTTTCAGGTATAGGAGTCACCCCATCCACTTAAAAACAAAAACAAAAACAAAAAAAAAAAACCCAACCCCACATCTGGAGCATTTTATTAAGTCAAAAGTTACTCAGAGTTCCCTGTACTTGATATACAAATTCCCACAATGAGCCGTAAGCTCACATCTCATAAATACATGTTTTAAATATATCTTGTAAACTTCTGTTTCCCTATTGTGGGACCAAGAAAAAAAATCCCCTGGGGATTTGATGGCAAATCCCCTGTTTTTCATTCAGCTGAATATTTTTTCCCAGTAGAACAACAGGTCTGTGTGTAACTCGGCATGGAGTCTGCAGACCGTCACCATATTTTTCAACATTGCAACAAAATATAAGATGTCAGGAGTCTCTTTAAAGAAGCTTGATGATTTTATGCCTTTATCAGCAGGTGTGGGTGAGAGAACATTGATCTAAGAAAAGTTACTACAAGTCAGGGAAGAGAAGAGAGGGCGGTGTGTCCTCGGGCGCCCAGCTGATTATTTTTACTCAGCTTCTTGGTTGGGGATTTAAAATTGCATTTCTGGTTTATAAAGCATGCTCCCCCACCCCCCACCAGCCTTTAAGTCATTCTTGAGATGGAAGTTCTGATTATTTGTAACTAAAACAATTTTTGCAACCTCTGAAACACTATCTCCAGAAATCACCAAGGACACAGAAAATTTTGTTCAAACCAAATGTAGAACACTGACGAATCAGAAGTGTTCTGAAGACAAGGACCATTTACAAATCCCCCTGCCCCCACTGGAGCCAGATGCTATCTTCAGGCTTTACCGAGATTAACTCAAAATCCCCTTAGCAATTCCCTAAACCAATGAATTGTTATCATCCAATTGTACTGATGAGGAAACTGAGGCACAGAAGAATTTTCTCAAGGTCCCAGAGCGAGAAAGTATCAGAACCAAGAGCCAAACACAGGCAGGGTGGCTCCGAAGTAGACCCCAGTTATGGGACCATTACCCCTGGCCACCCCAACTCAAGACCCTACATCCCATGTCCTAGCCCCCAGTACGCACCTGCTAAGTAGACGGAGACCCCACAGCAGAAGAGGCCAAGGGTGATATGTCTGAGAAGGCGGCCTTCGTAGAAATAACTGTCAGACCTGGGAAGGAGGGAGGGCGGCAGGAAGAAAGGGCTCAGGAGGTGGAGCTGGTTGGGGAAGGCCGGGGAGGGAGGGATGGCCGGCTTTGGAGGAAACGAGATCTGTGTGAGGATCCATCCATCCATCTGTCCATCCTTCCAAGTGAATATTTACTACCATTTACTGTCTGTCCATCCCCATTGATTATTGAACCACCTGGCTATCCGCTCATGTAACCATGCCTTATGAGTCCATCCATCCATTAATCCATGCCATTCATCATCCATCCACCATCCATCACCCACCAACCCTAACTCTAACCCATCCGTCCATCCACCCTGCATCTCCCATTCACCATCCATGGATCCACCCAACCATCTGTCTGTCCATTCGTCCATCCCTCACTCACCACCTATCCATCCATCACCCACCCCCTTCCTCCATAACCCATCCGTATACATCATCCATTCAAACACTGAACACTCACTCACAAAGCAGCTATTATCTACCGGCACTTGTTAGCCACCTAACTTCCATTACTTTACAGACCATAAGTTTATTTGGGAGATGAAGAAACTGAAGTTAACTTGCTACCAATGGTGATAGGAACAAACTCCCAAAAGCTGGCACTGCGGACCTACTTTTGAGACCAGCACCGGGCTCTGTGAGTCTGCAGTGGGCAGTCTCTGAAAGCCGCCATCATCACTCTTCTCCCACCGGTACAACAGAAGTGGCCTCCTCTCTGGTCTTCCTGCGCTTAGGGCTTATTGTTCCCTAAACGACAAGCACTTTCAACACTAGAGCTATCTGACCCTCGGCCCTATCTACCCCTCAGCTGCCACATATGTAAAATGGGTGGTTGGGGGTTCGCAGCAGTAGTTGGCAGCTGCTGTAAACTTTCAACTAATATAGAATGGAGGAAGGGAGGCAGGAATGGAAAAAAGGCGGGAGGCAGGGAGAGATGATAAAGGAATGGGGTAAGGGAGGGAAACTCTCCCCCAACCTGAGGCCCAGAGTGGCAGTGGCTCTCTTGGGCTTGCTCAGCCTGGGGCCGGGTGGAGGGGCCAGTCCTCCTACCTGCCGGGGCCGGGCCCCCTGGCCAGCTCCGCACCCAGGTGGCCGCAGAGCGCGGCGAGCAGCAGGCAGGTGAGGCCCAGCACCAAGGTGAGCGCTGCGAGCGCCGCAGCCAGCGGCAGCAGCGCCCCGGCTGCGTCCTCAGGCAGCCCCGGGCCCTCGCCCAGCTCCGGACCCAGCCCATCCGCGCGCAGCCCCCGCAGCTCCGCGCGGCCCGCCTGCAGCTGGAACAGCAGTTGCGCGCCCAGCACGGCCAAGACAGCCGCCGCGACGCCCAGCAGGGTCATTGCGACCAGCACCCGGCCGCCGTATGAGCGGGCCATGGCCGGGGTCCTGCGGGCCTGGGGGCAGCCGAGGAGTCAGAGGTTTTCCGGGGCAGTGGAGCTGGGAGTGGCGGGGATCCAGGACGGAGCGGGGTCGCAGAGGTGTCTGAAAGTTGGAGGGGCTTCCGGGGCTGGGGGGTACTCGTCGCAATCCGGACGCTGAAGCTCCGCGAAAACTTCAGACGGTCTTTTCTCCTCCCTCCGAGGACCCTGCGGGCGCCCCCTCCCGGCCTCAGGTGCTGGTGGGGAGGGGCCGGCGAGGGGCGGGGCCAAGAAGGGCGGGGCGGCCCCAGGAGGGGCAAAGGGCGCGATGGTCCCACCCAGGGACCCCTAAAGGTCCCTAAACTCATTAAGTACCGCCCCCTCCCCCGCTGCGTGCACCGGCCTGAGCACCTGTTTTATTGTTTCTGTTTTTTAAAGAAACTTTAACAAATTTTTAAATAATTCACCTTGATACTTAGTCTCTACCTGCGGATCTCTAGCAGCAATTGTTTGTGATTTCCTGTTTGCTCACTTTCTTTCAAAGCTTTGCAAAAGGGTCTCCTCCTTGGCCCGGCCCTCCTGGATCCTCCCCTCCAACGGGCGCCCCAGCCCTTCGCTACTAGGCTTAGTTCCAACCACGGCACTTCTTTTTTTTAAAAAAATATTTCATTTATTTATTTTTAGAGAGAGGAGAAGGGAGGGAGAAGGAACGTCAGAGAAACATCAAAGTGTGGTTGCCTCTCGCACGCCCCCTACTGGGGACCTGGCCCACAACCCAGGCATGCGTCCAGACTGGGACTGGAACAGCAATCCTTTGCTTTGCAGCCCAGGTGCTCAATCCACTGAGCCACACCAGCCAGGGCACTGCACTTATTTTGCTACTTAAAAATTTTTTTTAAATGGAGGTGAAATTTACCTGACATAAAATTCCCCTTTGTAAAGCAAACAATTCAACAGCATATGGTGCAACCATCAACCCTTTTTTTTTTAGCCAATTGGTATAGACAAGGAGGCTAACTTGAAATAGGGTTGTTATTATTTTTTTGCTCCATGCCTATCATTTTCCTATAAGATAAATCTGTAACTGTAAAGTATTTAGATTGGTTACACAAACCACATGGGGCAAAGTAGGGAATTTTGATCTTATTTATTTACTTTTAGAGAACAGGGAAGGGAGGGAGGAAGAGAGGAAGAGAAACACTAATGTGAGAGACACATCTATGGGTTGCCTCTCACCCACCCCCCACTGGGGACCTGGTCTGCAGCCCAGGCATGCGGCCTGACTGGGAATCAAACTGGTGAACTCTTGGTTCACAGGCCAGCACTCAATCCACTGAGCCACACCAGCCAGGGCCCATCACCTCATTTATTATGTTCCAGAATATTCTCATCACCCCAAAAGAAGACCCCATCCCCACAAGCAGACACTCTCCATCTTGTCCCCCAGCCCCTGGCAGCCACTAGTCTACTTTCTCTCTGCATTTATTGCTTGTTCCGGGCGTTTCATATCAATGGAATCACCCCCAACATGGCCTTTTCTGTCTGGCTTCCTTCACTCAGCAGAGGTTTTGAGGTTCATCCACGTGGTAGCTTGTCAGTGCTTCATTAATTTTTACAGCTGACACTGCTTCATTGTATGGATGGACCACACGGTACTTACACATTCACCCTCTGAAGGACACTTGGGTTGTTATCACCTTTTGGCGATTGTGACCCGTGCTGCTATGAACACATGTGAACAGTGATTTGAGCCCCGTTTTCATCTATTTTTGGTATGTACCAGGAGTGGAGTGGCTGGGTGAGACTCTCACTCTATATTTAACTCACTGAGGAGCTGGCAGACTGCCTTCCACAGCGGCTGCGCGATTTTACATTCCCACCAGCAGTGCACAGGCACTCCAATTTCCTTCATTTCCCTGCCAACGCTTGTTATTTTGTTTTTTTGATCATGGTCATCCTCCTGCTGTGAAGTGGTAGCTCACAGCAGTTTGATTTGCATTCCCCCCGGAGGCTTCTGATGGTGAGCATCTTTTCATGGGCTTGTTGGCCATTTAGGTATCTTTTTTTGAGAGATGTCTGTTCATATTCTTTGCTTATTTTTGAATCTGATTGTTTGTCTTGTTTCCCCAAGCACTTTGCATCCTGCAGTTAGTTCCCCAATGTTGGTGACCCCCTGTTGGGGCAGTGCAGCAGGACAGCGGGATGTCTGCCCAAGTGTCCACCAATGTGTTTCCTTAGTGTCTCAGACTGCACCTGGCACATCACAAACCCTCAATAAATGCTTGCTGCACCCATGAATGAATGAATGGCCTGGTACTCCTGCTCTGGAATTCTTGCAAAGTGTGAAATATCATATCCAGAAATGGTTTCACAGGTAACACATACCTGACAGATCCAGAATAGCATGAATGAGTCAGCCTGGCCTACAAGCAGGGCCTCGCCTTAGTGCATTTGGGCCTGAAAGACGGCATAGTCAGCACCTGGGCTTTGCAGGTGAGGAAGCTGAGGCACAGAGAGGTGTGCTGACTCCCTAGGTCACACAGCTTAACACAGGCAGGGTGGTATTTGAACCCAGCGGCATGGCTCTGATGCATTGCTCTCTACAATTTATTTATTTATTTATTTATTTCTCTATACAGTTTTAGAGACACACTAGTTTTGAATTTCCAGGTTTCTTTTCTGATTTTGGGGCCTTCTGGGAAGAGTGTAAGGGTCCTGAGCCTTCAGCCTAGTGTCTTATAGATAAAATGACCTTGGGGGAAACTAAGGGGTGACCCTACAGCTCCAAGTGGCCTCCTCCTTTGCTATGTGACTTTAGGCAAGCCCCCTAGCTTCCCTGGGCTTCCTCGCTTGTAACAAAAATCAGTTCATTCATTCATTTACTAGGCTTCAGCCCAACACACTCAGCCTCTTTCATTAGCAAAGGTAAGAAAACATCCCAAATTGGGGTAGCTGTGGCTCAGTGGCTCATTTGGAACAAAGCCCCAGCTCTGTTCCTGGTGTTGGAGAGACACAGATGTAAGATAGTTACACTATTTACCTGACAGACATTGAGGGGAAGCCCACATGGTACTGGTTCTAGGCTCTGGAGACCCAGTGGTAACTAAGGCAGGCCCAGCTTGCCCTTCTGGGGCTCATGGCCTGGTGGCGAAGTAGAAACACAAGCTAAACCAGACAAGTAAAGAGACAAGTACCACACTGTCTTAGACTTCACCATTGTTTGTTGGGGACGGGGGGAGGGATGTTCACAGATGCCAAGACTCTGCCCTTCCCTTTGTGTGAAGGTGACTTTCTAGTTGGTGTGTCTGGCTTCAATTTGGAAAGTTAACCTTGCAAGTGGAGACACTCCATGAGTGACACTCGGGGAGATTTCGTCTGCTTGGCCGGGTGCCAGCTGTGCCTTCCTCACCACAGCCAGGACAGGTAGAGGTGGGGATGGGGGGTCACAACTCCTATTTACTGAGAAGGATGAGACTCAGGGAGGGTCAGTGATTTGTCCACATCACACAGCCCCTGTCTCACTGCCCAGGTGGGGAAGGCTGGCCACTGCGTGTGGTGGGAATAATAATAAAGATATTGATGGGTCGCATGTCCTGCGGTTTACCCAGGGAGGATATTTTAAAACTTTTTCTTCCCAACAACTTGTTAGGTATTACTGAAGAGCCATTATCACGCAGGGTCTAATGCACGGGTGGGCTTACTGAGGTCCACAAATTAAAAACTGGCTGGAACCTGAGACAGGTGGTATTACTGACTGATCCTCAATGCCCCCACCTGGAGACTGGGGATTGGGGGTGAGCATCAAATGAGGCGCTGGCCAGCCAGGCATCAGGCCTGCCAGGCCTGGAGCAGCATCTCCTCACTTCTTCCAGAGATCAGGTGTAGTGGGGTCCGACCTGCGGCATGGGCCAGGGCAGCGATGAATGCGGCCCAATACAAAATTGTAAATTTACTTAAAACTTTTTTTTTTCCGCATCAGTTTTAATTAGTGTTTATGTGTTTAGTGTGTGGCCCAGAGAGCCAAAAGGTGGGACACCCCTGGTTGGCTCCGCTCCCTAGACCACGCCTCACCATCCCGCCTTTAGGCGGCGCCAGAGGCAAAGGGAAGAGGTTCCTGGCGCGGAGACAGCTCCGGCTCAGGCTTCTGGGCTGCCCCGCCAGAGAGCACCTGGCCTTAGAGTCACTTCCCAGAAGAAAGAAAAGGAGGCTTAGAAAGAGGAGGTGACTGTCCTCCGTCACACAGCCAGGAAGTGGTTCCAAGACTGGAGTTCGTTTTGTTTTGTTTTATTTTGTTTTGTCTTAATTGATTTTAGAGAAAGAGAGAGAGGAAGAGAAACATCATTTGCGAATCCACTTATTCATGCATTCGTTGTTTGGAGTTTTGATTTTTGATCTCTCCATTCTGCCACCTCTTCGGGAATACACAGGATTCATCAGGGATGAGGCAACTCCTGGCCTTGGGTGGCGGTCCGTGACCCCAGCATCCACGGCTCCAAGTTTTGAAACACATCCCGTATAAACTCTGAAGGATCGTTGTAATCTTGTGCATGAAATGTATGGAAAGCTCTTTATTGTAAGAGGGGCTGATCATTCACAGCACGGTTATTCGATTTTATTTGCATTTTCCCAGTTTGGAACCAGTTACCATTCCACCTCACCCAGGTCTTAAAAATATTTCTGGAGACCCTGGCCAGAAGGCTCAGACGCGCGCCTCTGGAGGACCAGGGCAGGCCCTGGGTCCGCCCCCTGTTGGGTGAGGGCATCTCACTGAGGGACCCCCGCTGCACCCTAGGCCCCACCCTTCACCTGCGGGGCGGAGCCTGGGGTTAGGGTTAGAACCGATTTCTCCAGTTCCCGCCCCTGTTCTCCCAGGAGTTTCATCAAAACCCCATCCCCTCCAGGGGTTGGGCCTCAGACCCTTCCCACTCCTGGCGGTTCCCCGTTTCCCGCATCCGGGGAAACTCGAAACAGCTCCTCCACTGCCCCGCCCCACCCGCCTCCTCGCTCTGGCGGGAACTCAGAGTGGTCGGTCCCCTCGCTGCCCCTCCCCTGCAACACCGGGGTGGGGGGCTCATCTCTGATTCACTTGCGCCTGCCAGCCCTCCGTCTTGTGGGGCTCAGAATGGCCCCCGCCCCGGCCGGCCGCTAAGTGGGAAAGGGCGCAACCATAGACCCGCCCCCCCACCCCAGTCCAGCTGTTCTCTCCCACCCCGGGTCAGAACAGTTCCCCCGCCCCGCCTGCCGCTTCGACCTCCGCCCGGGGCTCCACCCCTCCACCCTGGCCTGGTGCGCCCCGCGCGGCGCGTTCCACGCGGTACTTGCGGCGGCGCAGCGGCTCGGTGAGGCTGCGCGGGGCTGGGTCGTCCAGGTCTTCGGGCTGCAGGAAGCTGCGGTCCAGCACCTCGGCCGCCTCCTGCCAGTTGGCGAAGCAGGCGGGGCCCAGGCGCCGGATCTCGTCGGCCCCGTCGAGCGTGAGCACGTCCCCGCTCGGCTTGAGCACCACGACGGCCGGGAGCCGCTCCACGGAGAACTGGCGTCCGAGGTCCCTGCGGGGCAGGCAGGCTGGCCAGTGACTCCGAGCAGGGGAGCCCCACATCCCTTTATCTAGTACTTACCGGGGGCTGGGCGATGGCGAAGCCCGGGCACCGGGGCTGCCTGGGCCACACCGGACTCGCTCCCGTCTCAGGGCCTTTACACAGGTCGGCGCCCTCTACCCAGGCACTCTCCCCAGACCTCTGTCCATGGAGGCCCAACCTCAGAAAGCAACACCTCCCTCTCCCTCTGCTGTCTGGTGCCTCTCATCATCCAACACGTTACGTAGTTTATTTCTCCCATTTTTACCGCAATAGAATCACGAGGGCATGCATTTTTGTTTTCATTCACTAGTGTTCCCAGTGCCTGAAACAGTGTTGGACACAGAGCAGGCGCTCCGGAAATGTGTGGGGTGAATGAATGCATGTTGAGAAATGCCGTCAGGAAATCTGGGTAAGGGGCTGGTGGTTAGGGAGGGCCTCTCTGAGAAGGTGACCTTTGACCTGAGATCTGCAGGAGGAGGAGGGGCGAACGGGGGAAAGCGTCTCAGGCAGAGGCCCTGGCCAATGGGAAGGCCCTGAGGTGGGAGAGACTGGTGTGCTGATTTGATCTCAAAGGCCCCCCTGGGGGCGCAGCGGAGAGTTTAAATGTTCTTCACAGTATGAGGAGGGAGCCGGTGAGAAGCCCCAGGAGACCCAGGACCAAGCCCCCTGTCTAGGCCAGAATCCCTCACAGTCATCACAGAGTAAAGGGAGCTGCCAGACTGGACCAACCACCCACGGTTCTTCATTTCCACCCACTTGTTCCTGGGTGGCCCTTTGTCACACAGAGAGCACATGATGCTTGCAAAATCCCACTGGAGTAGGTTTTCAAGCTCAGCAGATAAAAATACAGGACATCAAAAAAAACAAAACAAAACAGGACATCCAGTTAAATTTGAATCTCATATAAACAAATACATTTTAGTATAAATATGCCCCATGTAATGTGTGGGGCAAACTCATACTAAAACATTATTCATAGTTTGTGTGAAATTTGTATTCTACTGGACATCCTTTATTTTATCTGGCAGTCCTGTGGGTAGGTGCAGGTGGAAGGCGGGTACTGGGTCACTTTCTCCAGATACCAGCTGGGTGAGTGTGTTGCTGAGAGGATGGTACCCTGGCATCTCTGCCTTCGGAGGGCAATGTTGTCAGTTCCGGGCACAGAACTCCCTCAGCTGCAGAGGGCAGTGGGGGGGAGCCAGTGTCCAGACTTTGATAATCCTGGGTGGGAATGAAGGTCTCCATGACCAGCTGCCATTGTGTAGCAAAATAAATGAAGTCAGAAAAATGTTGTGAAGCCTGCAACTCACTTTCAGACAGTTCAGGACAAACCCCTCATACGTGCAGGTAAAGCAAACAGGGCGAAATGTTAACAATGGCCATGGATTTCCTTGTGTGCTTCTTCCAACTTTGATATCTTTGAAGTTTTTCATAATAAAAAGTTGGGGTTTAAAAAGAATGAAAGGTTTACTGCAGAAAAGGGGAAAGTTCTAAAATAGCCACAAACTAAAACACCGTTTTTTGGGTTGTTTCTTGTAAAGCTTGATTTCAACCACCTCTCAGCTCCAGCGCCCTCCACGGCTCCCAGCTATGCTGGGGGTCACGTCCACACTCGTTAAGGTGGCATTTGGGACCTGCTGACATGGTGCCTGCTGACCTCGCACACCTGGAATTACTTACAGTTCCAAAAATTTGTTGTCCTTCTACCCTTTGTGCTGTGCCATACCCTCTGCTTAGAAACCCTCCTCTTTCCTCATGCTTCATCCTCCCATTCCCAATCCTTAGGGGTCTCTCTTTAAAGTCATTTCCTTCACCCCGGCTGGTGTGGCTCAGTAGTTTGAATGTTGGTCTGGGAACCCAAAGGCCGCTGGTTTGATTCCCAGTCAGGGCACATCCCTGGGTTGCAGGCTAGGTCCCAATTGATATATCTCTCACACATCAATGTATCAGCGTTTCTCTCCTCTTTCTCCCTCCCTTCCCCTCTCTCTAAAAAGAAATAAAACATTAAAAAAAGCCATTTCCTCCAATGAGCACCTCCTGGGCCCCCAAATCTCAGAAAGGTTCCCTCTTTACATCTCTACATGGCACCCCCCTTGGTCCTCCAGAACAGTACTGCAGTTTACTATTATATATTTGCATCTTTGTTTCATGTCTGTCCCCCTATTAGGTTGTAAGCTCCCTGGGGGCTGGATGGACACAGACAGGCACATGCACTCCCCTATGTTCTCCTCAGTTCTCAGTATGTGGACTGGCATATAGGGGCTGCTCAACTCCAGATGGACCAGGTGTGTCCATAAACGGATACTTCACTCTCAACAGCAAGAGCCCCTCCTCCAGGAAATCCTCCCTGACCTCCCCTCCCACCTCACCTCCTCAGGTCATCCTCAAAGGGCAGGAAGAGCCACTTCTTGGGCATATCCCTGAGAAACAGATCCTGTTGTTCCTCCGTGGTGTCCTGAGACACATACACCAGGGCCAGCTGGGCCGCCCGCAGCACGTAGAACTCATCCGTGAGCTGAATGAAGAAGTCCCTCAGGACAGGTGCAAAGGCCTGACACTGGGGGCATGACCCAGCGCCAAAGAACAGCAGCACCAGTCGGTTGTCCAGCCTGCGGCTGAGCTCTGCCTCCGTATCCAGCTCGTCCTGGTCACTGTTGTTTCGGATCAGGACTCGACCAGAGAACAGGGAGGCCATGGCAGCCCTGGCTAGGGGCTGGGGAATAGGTGGAGGGACCTTGTGTGGCCCTGGGCTTGCTGGCTGGCTGCTGCACCAGGATTAGGAATCTTTAGGAGGTCAGTTTAGGGCCTTACTAATCTGCCTAAAGCACAGCCCGATGCTGACCTAATTCTGCAGAGCCTCCCAGGGCAGCGGGCAGCTTCCAATGGGCCCCTTCTTCAGGGACAGTTGCAAATGCATTAAAAAATCTGCATAGGATTGCAAAGGAAACCCATCAGACTGAGACACAGGTGCAAAAACTTTTTATTATGTGATTTAAAAATCCCTGCTTTTTCATGAACACATTAAGTGATCCCAGTTCACGAGGACTCTGCTAAGTACCACAGTTTCCAAGTCGAGGTGAGCACAGTGGTATTTGGAAACGTCTGCCGTGACCAGGATGTGATATGAATTGCCTTTGATTTTCACGGGTGAAAGAGTCACAAGACCGGCCTATGCCTGCTTTGACAGGACATAAGAGGACATGCTAAGTTACAGTGAGAAGTTAATGAAAATAAAGATGAATTCTGTCCGGACAGCCCACCTTAAGGTCCCTCGGTGTGCAAAATGGAAGATCACTGCCACAGTAACTTGTAGCCCCCTCCCATCAGGAGATGGAAACTAGTTTCCTTCTCCCTGACTTGCCCTGACCCACAGGTTGTGGCAGAATGCAGGATAAGCTTTACCTCACCTCCTACCACCTGTGTCTTGGAATACTTCCTCCAGATGCCCCAACTGTTAGAGAGGATAAAGGTCTCAGGGTCTGGGAGTTCTAAATATTACTAAATGTTATCATTTAAAAATTTTTTAAAAAGAATTTATTTATTTTTAGAGGGAGGGAAAGGAAGGGAGATAGAGAAGGAGAGAAACATCCATGTATCAGAGAAACATCAGTCAGTTGCCTCTCACACGCTCTCAACCTAGGACCTGGCCTTTAACCCAGGCATGTGCCCTGACCAGGAATGGAATGGGCGACCCTTGCTTTTCTGGATGACGCCCTAACCCACTGAGCAACACCAGTCAGGGCTTCATTTCTTCCTTTCTTTCTTTTTTAAAGATTTTATTTATTTTTAGAGAGAGGGGAAGGGAGGGAGAAAGAGAACGAGAGAAACATTGATGTGAGAGAGAAACATCGATCTGTTGCCTCTTGTAGGCTCCCTTTTTGGGGACAGAACCCTCACATGCCAGGCCTGTGCTCTGACTGGGAACTGAACCGGTGACCTTTCACTTAACAGAACCACGCCCAACCAACTGAGCCACACTGGTTGATTCCGGTTTTTGTTTGTTTGTTTTTTACTTTTAGAGAGAAGGGAAAGGAGGAAGAAAGAGAGGGAGAGAAACATGCCCCCAACTGGGGATCGAAACACGGCCTTTTGCCTTAGTGTGCCTGGCCAACATGCTAATAAACTGAGCTGCTCAGCGAGGGCACTAAATGTTACTCTTGCTAAATGTTAACATGTAGCACAGTATTTTGTAGACCAGCTGGGAACAGGATGAACTTGACAGGAACCCAATGAGATAAATGTAGCCAACTGCAAAGGAAAAAGAAAATGTATAATTAACCAAACAGTATATATAAACAATGGCTAAGGTCCTTTGGGGAAACAGAGCTTTGGATTTGAATTGCCTGCTGCTCTCCTTGGTGCAAGTAAATGAAACAGTCTGCCTGCCACAACCATGTCTCCTTGAATAGAGCACCCCCAAACTGTGAGCCCTTGAGTTCCAGTAACACAAGGAAGACGATGTAGCCCAGAAGTTGACAAGTCTTTTTTGTAAAGGACCAGGTGGTAAATATTTCTGGCTTTGTGGGGCACCAGTTTCTGTTGCAACTTTAAATTCTCCACTGTTGTGCAAAGCGGCTTCAGACAATATGTAAATGAATTTATATGTCTAGATTCCAATAAAGCACTTTATGGATGTCAAAATTAGAACTTCATAGGATTTTCACATGTCATGAAATATTAGTCTTTTGACTTTTTTAAACCATTAAGAACTGTAAAAACTGCCCTAGCTGGTGTGGCTCAGTGGATTGAGTGCTGGTCTGTGAATGAAAGGGTTGCCAGTTCAATTCCCAGTCAGGGCACATGCCTGGGTTGCAGGCCAGGTCCCCGGTGGGGGGCACATGAGAGGCAACCACACACTGATGTTTCTCTTCCCTCTATTTCACTCTCCCTTCCCCTCTCTCTAAAAACAAACAAACAAACAAAATATTTTTAAAAAAGAAATGTAAAAACCATCCTTAGCTGATGAAAATGAGCTGGATTTGGCCTGTGAGCGGAAGTTTGCCAGACTCCTTTTCTAATCTATGGGATGAGAGGCCACAGGAAGAACCAGATGCCCAACCAACAGCCAGCACCACTGGCCACACATGTCATCCTCTAGCCTAGCCACTCCAGAGTGACTGAGTCTAGTGAGACCAGCAGAGGGACTGACCGCTCAGGCCACCCTTGGGAGCCGGAGAAATAGTTGATGGCTGTTGTATTGAGGCAGGTTAATAAGAGGCTGGGAACAGACCTTGGCAAGTAGAATGAGGGAAACACAGTTAAACAAGACTGAGCAATTAACAGCCAGTGAATAAACTGCAAGATCTTATCTTCCTGAACCAAGGACACTTAAGAACAAATTCTTTGTATCTCTTCTCCCCAGCCAGAGAGTGAGTAGCTTCATCCTAGTCAAGGAGTTAGATGACAGACCCAGTTGGTACCATTAATGTCAGCCAGACTCCAGAGCAAATGAAGCCAGGAATCAGTAACAACAACAACAACAACGGACAAGTAGAGTGAAACAAGTGTAAGATGAGAGTGAAGCAGTGAAGCTGACCAGAGAATGTCCCAAGCTCCCCATCTGCTCTGTTCTGATGCATCAGCATATCAAAGAGAAACAGGAAGAGCTGTTGAATATTCTGTTGAGACCCTCCCCTGAGACTTCCCCTAAAACTCCCTCCTTTAGAAAACAGATAAAAACCCTTAAGACAAAGAATGCGGGTGCTGCTCTTCCTTGAGTGTGCCCATCCCCCCTCCCTTCTGCAGGTGTGTATCTTTGCTTTCTTTCTCTTACTCCCTAAGGGTTCCCACAAGACTTGCAACCAAGGGAGCAACGGGCAGCAGCAACTTGACCCAGGCTAACCCCCTAAACTGGTCTTCAAGGGCTCTCCTGTTGCCATTGTAACTTGTTTTCTGAGTCCACACAGCCCAGCATGGCTCACTTCTGTTACTGTGACTTCCTCGCCTGAGTCTTCGCAGCTCAGCCAGCATGTCCTCAGAACGGCTCTACAAGGGTCATGCAGTTTTATCGCATTTTACAAGTGAAGCACGGACCCTGGCAGAAGCTGACCCACGTAGCCAAATTATCCCGAAGATGACATGTGTGGGGCTATGGAGCCAATTCCAACTTGTCTGAAGCTATCACCTGCTCCAGAATTTCCAAACTGCAGCACCCTTGCCGCTTGGGGCCAGATCCTTCTTTGTGATGTGGGCATGGTCCTGTACATGATAGGGTTTTAGCAGCACCCTGGCCTCTACCCACTAGATGCTAGTAGTGTACTCCCACCTTCTCCTGTTTCGACCATTAAAATGTCTCCAAACATTGCCAAGTGCCCTCAGGGGCAATTGAGAACCACTGTTCTAACCCTTTGTCCCACTGAGTGGGTAGGATGGTAGCCCCCAAAGAGGTATAACCAAGTCCTAACCTGCAGGACCTGTAACTGTGACCTTATTTGGAGAAACGGTTTTTGAAGATGTAATTAAATTAAGGATCTCAAGATGAGACTGAACCCTGAGGAAAAGACATATAATAAGGGCTTCTGATGGCTAACTGGGCTCAAATAATAATAAAAAAAGGTCAGCAGCCACTTCCGCGAGGGGTCTCTCACTCAGACTACACTTTGTAGAGAAGCCTCTGCACTAGCCTGCCTGCGGCCCCAGCGCTCAACTGCTAGCCAGCACTGTTTTTGCTCTCTGAGCCAGCCCTAATACAGGAGGTAGGAGGGGCACCCATCTAACCAATCAGAGACCAGGGGCGGGGACTTCTGTCTTAGCGAACTTTCCTCCGGCTCTTGTAAACACCCTTTCTACCAAAGGCTCTTTACCCTGTTTTCCTTGTTGGAGCTGACACACCGGTGGAGCAGACCATCGTGGAGCTGAACCGCTTGGCTGAAGAGGGACCTGGCCCCAGGGCCACCAGGCCTTGGGAAAGCAGCTTCCAGTTGCGCTGTTTTTGCAGCTACACTGCAGCACTGTGGAGCTGTTCCTCCGCAGCACTGTTTTCACAGCCATGCTGTATTACCGTAGAGCCGCTTGCACTAAATGAAGTTTCCTTCACCACACCCCCAACTGGGGATTCCTGTTGGTGTTGAGTTGGTGCCAAGGACCATCAGTTGATAAGATCACCCTGGATTATCTAGATAGGCACTAAATTTAATGACAAGTGTCCTTATAAGAGATAGGAGAGAAGACAGACACTCAGGGAGAAGGCCAAGTGAAGACAGACAGATTGGGGGGATGGGGCCACAAGCCAACAAAACCTGGAGCCCCAGAAGATGGAAGAGGCAGGAAAGATCCTGTTCTAGAAATTCCAGAAGGAGTGCAGCTGTTGACACCTTGATTTTAGACTTCCAGCCTCCAGAACTGTGAGAGAGGAAATTGCTGTCATTTGCAGCCACCTGGTTTGTGGCTATTATGGCAGCCCCAGGGAACTCACACCCCTAGTCAAGTGTGGTGGGCACTTGACTACGCAGAGAAATTGCTCACTCCCACGTGGTGCTCATGTTCTACTTATGTGAAGCACACATGCTGTGACCTTTCAATATTTTATTTCAATGTCTGTTTCATTTTTCTCCTTCCAGAAAGTTTGAAGAACTCTTTTTGCTGTGTCCTGCAGGTCCCTGGGGTCACTCCAGGGAGGGACATGTCCACCAAGCTATGCACCCACATCTACTGTGTGCCTGCCCCCCTCATTCTCCGGATAACAAGCTCCTAGTCTGTCAGACTTTGTGCTGTGGATGATCAATAAATAGGTTATTTACAGCACCTTGGAGTCAGTTGA